GAGTGTCAATTCATATTAAAATTATGACCGCTTTTTCACCAACAAAAATTATTTTCCTGACATTGCAAAAGGATAAACAAASTGTGAAAGGACAATTATTTCGTTTGATGTGCGACTCGGGCTCCTTGTTTAACTTGTTTTGTGACCGCGAAAAGGGCTATTGTCATGCTTCCTTTAGGATAAAAGTGATTTTCTAATAAGCTTCTTGTCACTTTATTGGATTTAGGCTGTTGCAGCTGTCAAGGAAAAAGATCGAGAACTTGCCCAACGAGAACACCTTATAAGGATACTAACACAAACTAGAGACCAGGCCCTAGCTACCCTACAAAGACAYGGTCTATCTGTACCTRTGGAACTGCCAAGTAAAGAGGAGCCTGGGCCATCAGAAATCAATTCCGAAAAGGATCAACTCAAGATATACCAGGAACAAAATGAAAACCTGAGGGACGTTATACGACAGATGCGTCAAGAGATGGAGGAACTAAATAACCAACTTGCAAGCAGACCCCCATCAGTAATGGTCCCTTGTGACAATAGTAGTCAGATACCTTTAACTCCAGGTATGGTAATATCTCTACACATATCCCTATCTCTAACTATTTCAGTGTTGGGCTCTATGCACTGATGAGAACGCAGCGCGGCGGGCAATATCGCGTCACATGGTCGACTCTCTACCGATTGTGACAAGTGGAGAACAATTTGTTGCGGGATTATAAAAACGTGTCATAGAGTGCACGAGATCAATATGTAGTGTTTAAAAAACGAGCAGGAGTGCTTTATCGGGAGATATAGACACGAGGCCAAAGGCCGAGTATCTATATCCCCGATAAAGCACGACTGCGAGTTTTTTATACGACTTCTAGAACTCCAACATCCAGAAATTGTTATCATTTTAGAAAAAAGCTAAAAAATGCGAAAACAGAGATTATACATGTTAAAACTTCTACTGAGCATGTGCATTTGTCACAAATGAAAGAATTTTGATCCCACACGTAAGAACAGCTAGTCTATGCTATACTGCATATCTGCACATTGATTCAAACTGATTTAAAACCTAGCAAAGGTCTATGATGCGACATTAAAACTGAGACCTTTGCTAGTGTTGGGTTGCGATAAAGCGCTGATGACCTTCAACATCAGTTCTTTATATCTGATATAGAACTGATTAATAAAACATCAGTTCTATATCTCTGATACAGAACTGATTAATAAAACATCAGTGCCTTTATCGGGATATAAAGGTCCATCATGTGACCCAATAGTTGGATTCTGATTGGACTGATAGCTCATGAATTATTAATGAGTTCTAGAAGGTTCCTTCAAGTACAATGCACCTACTCATAGTACATTGACTTCGGACCATGTTATAAGGTCTTGAACTGCTTCTTGTATACTACTTGGTTGGTGTTTTCCGAGAGATTCAGACATGGTAACATCGTCGACGTACTTCCAGAGTTTCACCCCTGGAACAACTAAGTCATTTATCATCATGAGAAAAAGCCATACTCCTAGCTTGGTACCTTGGGGGACACCAGCACGTACCTCACCCCATTCTGAAAAACAATCGCCTCCAAGCTTTACACGTTGTTTGCGATGTTTGAGAAAATCTACAATCCAGAGTACTACATGTGATGGAAGGTCGAAAAGAGCAAGTTTGTTTACGAGAATGTTATGATCAATAAGATCAAATGCTTTTCGAAAATCAAATAGGGGTTTCAGTTACGTCATCACAATTTTTATTTTACTCGAATTAAAAAATGACATTCATTTTCTTTTAGAGCATAAAAAACTACATAGTTTGACAAAAAATTAGGATTGTAGAGCGTTTGCTTGCGATTTATCATCAATTCGCAAAATTTGGTAAAAATGTATGGAGAAATAAATTCCATAGAAATTTGAATTTTTTGATATATTTCGTGAGGATATTCTTGCATTCAATAAAATGTGCGTACATGAGGCAAAATGTTTTATGCGCATTGAATTGTAACGGTTCTTTATAGGTCCGTGACGGCGTTGCGTGACACAACCAAAGAATTGTTTAAACTCATTTTTGTTCTTGTATCTTTACAATACCCATATTTATAACATATACAGTTTGTATCATCATAGGATGCATATTAGAGATTTAATATTTTGTGACGTCACATGAAACACAAGAATTCTGATTGGCCAATCCCGCGCGCGCGAATGACGCGTTTGATTTGTCGGAACTATGAATTCTTGATCTTCATTGTTGTATTGTAGAATACGTCAATTCCCTTGAGAAAGAAATTCGTGATTTAAAATCCAAGAATAGATCACTCGCAAAACGCCTTGAAGACATGCCACTTGTACATAAACCACCGACAGGGACTGGACATGACCAGGTTAGGTCACTTGGCAAAATAGATGATCCCTATGTCCAAAGTCACGTGAAAGAATTGAACGATACTATTGGTAGGTACAATTAGTGTGTTTTATGCATGGTGTAGTGCGGTATATTTTGACGTGTTGCGCCCGTTATACGTTGGTGATTATCATCCTGCGCTCTGAAATGTGTTGAGCGATATTTCCACTTTTTCATTGTTCCAAAAAACGATCAATAGGGATTTTTATTCTCATTCTCTGCATGGTGATTTGATTCATACACTGCACGTTCACTTTGTCCCTGATTACCAACAGTTGCATGTTATTAGAAGCGAACACCAAGCACTAGTGCTGACGCACAGTCACTCATTGTCAACCTTGAAGCCTGAAAACTAGTAGCGYAGGGTGTCATGGGTAATCCAGTCGTTATTTTTCTGCAGCGCTTCAGAACCAAAGTTCCAACAACACCATGACGACGTGTCTATCGTSTGCAACGAGCTTGTTGACTGAGAAACAAGAGATCTATTTTAGTGGATTTATAACCCACCCATGATCCACTGCGACACTAAGTGAAGCTTTCCTGGTATCGATTGTTTATTTGATTTAATATTGAAATGGCTTCTACAGAGAATCGCGCAGCGATTAGAAAATTCATTTTTGCTTGCAAATCACTGGTTTTAATAGTCGATCGTCTGCGATATACGTGCTGTGTAACCGGGTCTTATGTTGTTCTTTTYTACAGGGGTTTTACGACAAGACAAACTTCAGCTGACCGCAGACTGTAAGAAGCACGAGGCGTCTATTGAACATCTACGAAGTCTACTTAACCAGGCACAGGACCAGGTAGGAGAACGKTACCATATCACATGCGTCTTTTTGATTTCATTGAAGTCTGGAGTCAGCTCGAGCTATGTGGCAGACCAAGATAACGCTGAAGTGGACAAATTTGAATAAAAGATGTTCCAGAATCAGAATCAGTTTATTTWACAGTATTTAGACTGTTCCGAATTTAATAGCTAACGATACATGCAGAAAAGCTTTTCTATTGCGCCATATGAACGAGAGCCCAGTCAGAACAGAACATCGATATTCAAACTCCTCCGCCATTTTTCGATTCTGTGTGTATACATCGGCTTTGAAGTGTTTCGTATTTTCAGGTTCGTSAAAAGCAGATGGCAGTCGACCACGCCCAGTACGAGATAGCTACCCTTTCACGTCGATCGACCGAAGAATCCAGTACACTTAAAAAACGCGTGTCAGAATTGGAATTACTGCTGACCCAAGTACGGCGGGAAGCTGATGAATACTTTAAGAACGGCCTTGAGAGAAACCTGGAAGCAACGACACTTGGCAATCAGGTATTCAATACATTGTCAGAAGGTTAATTAGCGAAAAAAAAGTATGAGGACGATACTTTCGCTGTGCACTGGCAATCGGTTCGTAGAATGATGGAAAGTCTGTACAGGCGATGTATAGTATCTATGCTTTCTTTCGGTTCAATGGTGTTTTCTTGATGTTTCAGTTGTCAGTTCTCAAACTAGAGCTCGCATCGCAAGGCAGGTCGACATCATCTTTTAATCCACAAAATGAACTCAACCACAAGGTCCCGTATGAACATCAAAACAAACCCAGCCACGGTAAGAAGCGACTCACCCTTCACTAACATCCTTTAAACTGTAGCAGAAATACAAAACCAGAAGTGTCCATCTCGCTAGTAATCTCGTCACCGTCAGATGTCCCGATAATCTATTTTTAAACAACCAATCACAACGCGCGCACATATTACACGACACCTTATTGGTCCTTGGTGATACTACTTCAAAAGAGAAAATTTAAAGTCGATGTCGGCCAACGAACTGAAGTTTGCACTATAAGAATTTCAGAATTTCAGAATTTCCTTTTGCAAAACAACCATTTTTGAATTTGATAGAAAACATGCTTTACTATATAAGCAATGTAGCGAACGTAGTTCAAGAGCAATATGGTCTGCGAAAACAAGGGAAACGTTTAGACTTTTATGTACTTCTAACTGTAGTCTATAACATTGTCAAGGTCTATTTCTACAGACAGAACCTCTATTGGTAGGCTAGGCTTCATTGTTTGGAAGACCAATTATTGTTTGTGTATTGTTTTCTAAACCAATCACGAGAATGGTTGTTTCAATTATGAAAAGCGAATGTTCTTATGATTGTATCAGGACAAAGTGAAGTTCCCAGGTCCTCCTCGGATACCAATGTGGCGAGACTTCAAGGCAAATTGAAAACCGCTGCCCAGAGAATAACGCAGTTAGTTCGAGAGAAAGACCAGCTTATTCAAATGGGAAACAAACTAAGAGCAGAGTTGGCGCGTTTTAAAGGTAACTTAATTAACGTCAAGATCTGTCGGAGATTAAATGTAGTTGGTTTTGTCCCTAATTTTCWTAATTACGCGACTATAGTCGTACATTTCTGGAATTACTTTCAATGGAGCAACAATCAGGGCCTTGATCAACAGAATACATAACAGGCAGCCCAACCATGTACTGTTGCCACCATGAGCTGCCTGTACATGTATTCCACAGTGAAATCTTTGAGGTCTTGTGATTACTTGTAACTGAAGGGCGGCTGAAAACCAGTTACACTTGTGTAAATCCTCGCGCGCTGATTGGATAATTAGAGTGTGTCAATAAGAGGACATGCACACTGTGCTGACACCATCACGTCTCGCGCGCTGATTGGCTGATTAGGACATGCACACTGTGCTGACACCATCACGTCTCGCGCGCTGATTGGATGATTAGAGTGTGTCAATAAGAGGACATACACACTGTGCTGACACCATCACGTCTCGCGCGCTGATTGGCTGATTAGAGTGTGTCAATAAGAGGACATGCGCACTGTGCTGACACCATCACGTCTCGCGCGCGCTCAATTGACAGAAAAGAATGATTTTCGCTAATTGTGTTATGGTATTTAAAATTTGGTAAAAAAAACATTGCGCACTGTTTTGAGTTGTATGTCCTCTTATTGACACAATCTTGACGTCATAAAATGTTCAAAACTTTGCAGTGAACCCCACTCGAGTTTTGAACATTTTATGACGTCAATAGTG